CCCGATTTCCTGGCACCCGCACCCTGCGAGGTCCAGAGGGTGGCTCATGACGGCTCCAAGGAGCATCCCGGTGTGGGGACACCTCCCCCGGCCGCCGTGTCCCCAGCATGGGGCCGCAGCTTGGGCTAGCCGGGACGATGTCCTGCTTATCACCCTGCCTGGGAAAGCAGGGGTTGGGGTGCTGCGGGAAGGCTGGCTCGTCCCAGTGTGCGGGGCCAGGTATCCCAGTCGGACCGGAGCAGCAGGTCGGGATGTCCCTTCCAACCCTAACCATTCTATGATTCCATGTACTGGGCAGCCTGGCACTGCTTTGCACAGGCACCGCTGGTGCTTCGCTTGACACCCAAGAGTAACCCCAAAACTGCAGCGGATCAAGCACTAAGGGCGCAGATGGTGCGTGCGAGCAGGGGCAACGTGGGGTATTTATCAGCATTATGATGCGTGTGGATACCTGCAAGGTGCGGAGGAGGAGCTGGGCGCAGCCTGACCCATCGCTGCCGTGTGGGCAGGTGGGCGAGGACAGGACCGTGTCCCTCTGACCAACATCCCTGGGCCTGTCGCATCGCCCCAGCACCAAAATTCCCCTCTTGTACACAGATTTTTAGGACTTGACCTTCGCACGTCGCGTCTCAGCCGGCAAGGTGCCGTCTGTGCAGAAATCCTACAGCTTCGCTGTAGGAAGGGCACGGGGGGCCCCTGGCCCAAGGAGCATCGCTTTGGCCTCACGGCCGTGCTGGCTCCCTGAAGACACGTGGGTTCAGCCCAAGCTGGGAGACCTGGTGCCCTGAGATCTGCCCCTTGCTGCTGTTCACCTGTCCCTAAAACACCATATAAGGGTTATATGGTGCTACAGACTTGTGGGTGAAGCCTGCAAAGGAGAAATAGCTTAATTTAAAGGGTAATTAGCATTAATCTGTGGCCAAAGGAAGCTTAAAAGCGAGCTAATTACACATGCTAATGTGCTTTGGGTAATGAGCGACCGAAGGGTGTAATCAGAGCCGTCTGGGGGTGGACACTGGCTACTGGATGGTATTTCTGGCCGAGGCCGGTCCCATCGGTCACATCTGCTGGTGTCTGTAACCCACAGCCAAAGCTGGGTCGGCACGGCAGAGGAGAGAGCACGAGCGTGTGAACGCTACCGAGAGATTCACCAGTGGGAGGGGGGAAAAAAATACCCCAGATTTCCATTTATTGTGGTAAAATGGGCTGCGGTACCGGCTCTGTGGGTGGGTTTGTCACAGGAGGGCGATCCTGACCTCTCCTGTTTCAGGGTGAGAAAGAAGGGGGTTGCTGCCTTTGCAGGTGCTGGCAGCCCCAGGTCAGACGGACGGATGCCGGGGAGGCATCCCTGGAGCAGCTGCCATGGCACCCATCGGAGGTGCATGTGGCTCTGGGTGCTTCGGCCTGTCCCGGTGATGCAAGAGAAAGCCCCGGGAAGCAGGGGGAAGCGGAGGGTGGCAGGTGTGATCACAGGCTGTGGATGGTGTCCTCAGCCTCCCTCTGTCTGCCACGGACCTCCCCCTCTGACTCTGGGCTGACAACGTCCTGGATTCATCCCCCTTTCAGTGCAAGTTCCTCTTCGCGGGGCACCAAATTGCATCATTTGGTAAAATCCCGGCTGGTCATTGGCATCGGGACTCAGCCCTTGAGGGTGCTGGGTGCAGGGACCTGCTGCAGACATGGTGCTCCGAGCCAGTTCCTGGCACTGCCCTTTCCTTGGTTTCTCTTCCAGATGTCCTTCTACTTCTCGGACACGGCGGTGCTGCTCTTTGACTTCTGGAGCGTC